TCCAGTCAGCGGTGAGTAATCCCAAACCAATGGCGCTGTCTCAAACTATACCTACCTCTTACGGTTTGTCTGATTTGTTGTTGTGTTTTCTGACTTGTTAATTTGTTTTCGGATTTGTCGTTGTGTTTTTGACTTGTTATTTTGTTTTCGAATTTGTCATTGTGTTTTCTGACTTGTTATAATGTTTTCTGAATTGTTGTTGTGCTTTCTGAATTGTTATTTTGTTTTTTAGACTTGCATTTGCGTTTGTAATTTGTTATTTTGTTTTCAGAATTGTTATTTGTTTTGCACTTCTCGGTCACAGTACGTCTGTCATAGGCATGTCATATAATTTAAAGTCTTTATCAAGTCAAAAATAAAACGTAGAAATATATTTAAAAGCCAGGGAAAAAATCCATTTGGATCAGTGTTTCGAAGAAGAGTTTTTCACCAAATAAGATATGCAACAAAAGGAAGAATAAAAGTTACATAGCCTACAGCTCTACAAATCACAAATGCAGTTGGTGGGTTTTTTTAATTGCCTGGTAACCCTAGCAGCAGCATCCCCGCGAGATTTGTAGTATAGACTGACGCGCACACTCCTTGCACTGATGATTAATGTCAATGACCGCGCGTAACCTTCCTCCCGCGTGCTGCTCGAGCCAGATGCTTCCAGTGCCAAACCCCTCCCTCAGAAAATCTCTAGAACCACCCTCAAAAGTCTCCATTTTTCACAAAAAGTCGCCAAATATGAAAACAAAGTAAATACAGGTAAATTTGGTAAAGGTAAAGGAAAGTAAATATATATACTTTACAAATGATAACAGTATAAAAAATAATAACAAAAGATTAAATATAACAAAAAATTCTGAAGTGAAATTAGGAAATGCTTGTGATCTGCAAGCACATCAAACATGATGGAAATGATGGAAAGACACAATGTTGGGAATTTGTTTTATGTGTCACCAAAGTGCATCCCTGTCCTGCTCAAATACAACAGATAAGAGATATTATGATTCTCCAAAAACAAAAACTTTATTCATACAAACTTATTTCAGTCAACACACTCTATTACTACAAAGTAAGTGCAAAATACTGCATCCCAGCACACATGACACGATGATGCACTGTCTTCTCTCTCAGTATCTGGTTGACATGACTGTGCATGAATTGTGGTATAACTTTTGTGTCCGTGGTTAAAACAAGATGTTCATTTTTTCTCCAAAATTCTGAAGTGAAATTAGGAAATGCTTGTGATCTGCAAGCACATCAAACATGATGGAAATGATGGAAAGACACAATGTTGGGAATTTGTTTTATGTGTCACCAAAGTGCATCCCTGTCCTGCTCAAATACAACAGATAAGAGATATTATGATTCTCCAAAAACAAAAACTTTATTCATACAAACTTATTTCAGTCAACACACTCTATTACTACAAAGTAAGTGCAAAATACTGCATCCCAGCACACATGACACGATGATGCACTGTGTCTCTCTCTCAGTATCTGGTTGACATGACTGTGCATGAATTGTGGTATAACTTTTGTGTCCGTGGTTAAAACAAGATGTTCATTTTTTTCTCCGGCATCTTGATTGATGCTTATAATTAAATTGTGGTGTGCGTCATGGCAGGTGTGGCGTACTGGTGTGTTGACTGCGCAGACTCATTGGCATGATTGAGAGCAAACGTGAGCGGTCACGGGCCTACGGCAGGGTGTGGCCAAATAAAAAATCTCCAAAAAATCGCTAGTTTTATTTAAATATAGCTAAAATAGCTCCTTGTCACAACAAATAAAAAAAAGTCGCAGCTACAATGAGAAAGTAGCTAAATTTGGCGACAAAATCCCCAAATTGGCAACACTGGATGCTTCTCTGCCACAGGCACGGCAGCAGCGCTCGAGGATCGGTCACATGATCGCATGGTTATCCAGAGCCAAGCCGTCATTGGCTGGTCGAAGGTCTGACTATGGTGGAGAGGAGCATCGTTATCATCATTACTGCAGTGCCATTTCAAATTACCACTGAATTATTTACTCTATCCTTGTACTCATAGGTAGACATGTTTGCCCATGCATAAGCAAAGATTCCAGAGAAATGCTAATTCTCACCTAATGGGGGTTCCAGGATAGTCAAATGATAAGATCTCGAGTTAGTATTAGGTTGTTGATGCAGTGAATGAAATGACCCACTGCATTCAGAGTGAGGTAACAGGCTACAGGAGATCAGTACTGACTGAACATCAGGTAGTTTCCTTGAGGTTTGAGGGTCTGACTCATTCGGTTCAGTGCCCAGTAGTGCTGGGGATTTTGATTGTTGCCAATGACAAAGTCAGTCAGCTGTGGAATCTTATTTCCGCCACACAATAAATAAATAAATAAAGTAATTGCGGCTTTCTGTTTCACAATTAAGACTTTTTTTCTTGCATTTTACATGTTCAAATTGTGAGAGAAATAGCTGCAGTTACCTTGTTATTTATTTATTTATTATCATTTTGTAGTGGAAACAAAACCAGAACTGCTAGGTGTAAACTCTAAAAAAAAAGTGAGATGTAAACTCAGAACTCTGGAGGGGGAAAGTCAGAATTGTGAGATGTGAAAGGTGAATTTGTTTAGTAGATCCAACCAATACCATTGTTTATAGATGAAAAAATATACATTATTGAAAATTAAATAGAATGATGAATTCATTTATTAAAAGAGTTCTAAAAATTCTAAA